AATTAAAATCTCGTTGATCTCATCACTTCTCAAAATAACCTTAACAGTATCCACTTCCTTTTCAACCCAACTTCATCTTATTAAGAGGAAACAAAACTGTTTGGAAATGTTTCAAAATCAAACAAAGCACGGCCCCGAGTCCAGTCATATTTTTGACAAAACATACCGGCACCTTGACCCAAGTGGCAAATAAATGCCTCAGAACTTAATAACAGCCCGTTTTCAAGGAATTAGCAGAATTTGCGTAAAATGACCAAAATACCCCTGGACCCAAATCTGCAAAACAAACACCTCCATAACTTGTTAGTGGTTAGCAAATGTACATATGAGATGATATGCGAAATGACTGACTAAATATAAGGGTAAAATTTGGGGTATTACAATAACCATTATCACTAAGCTGACTGATAGATAATAAGTTATGCATCAAGCCATCAACCAAAAAAATATTAGTAATAGAGGGGAGCTTACCATTACCAATAGTTCTAGAGCCAATGATCTTCCCTTTATAGTTTCCTCTGAAACCAACAAAGCCTCTAGGATTAAGTTCCAAATCTTGGAACATATGCCTTCTACCCATCATGTGTCGCGAGCATCCACTGTCTAGGTACCATGGTTGGTGTCTCAACTGAGCTGCTAAGGATGTCAGCAATATAAATGATCTTATCCTTAGGTACCCACTTTCTGGGTCCTCTTTTGTTAGTTCTCCCAGAGTTTTTCACAACCTTGGGTTTTTGTGAAGTAGGATAATCAAGTAAAATTTGTGCATGATACTTAAGTTTCAGAACTGATTTCTGTGTCTATGCAAAATAGTAATGCTCAGTGCTAGCAGGCACAAAATTCTCATAGAGAGGTTTCGATTTTAGCTTCTGACTTTCGTCATATTTTGAAGTTTTTGTACAACTTAGACCTTTCTTATAATTTTTGCTAACTTCATAGATTATGGAAGTCATTTTGCTTCTATCTATGTTTTTAGCCAGAAAGTACTAGAATGATCTGTCATATCTAATGACGCAATCGGTACCAAAAACTTATAAGACTATTTCTTCCTCCAATTTTGAAAATTTTCTTTTTAAAGTAGAGTTGTTACTTTCTAAAGAAAAAATCTTTTCATTTAGGGAAGAAATATCCTTCTCAAGCTCATTACAAGTTTCAGAAGCAACTACTTGGCCTTGTTTAAGGTCCTTGTACCTACTTTGAAGGCTTTGGTGCTTTTCCAACATTTCACAGAGACATGACTCTAAATTAGAACAAGATAGTTTAGAAAATACCTCTTTAGAATCGTAGTTTGATTCTGACTCTGACAAGATTTTGTTTTCTGGTTCTTCAGAATCTTCAGCATCAACTGTAGTTGCCATAAATGAAACGCTGCCATGTTCCTCTTCAGAATCTTCTTCTTCTGATTCTGAGTCGTCCCATGTAGCCATAAGCCCCTTTTTGCCTTTAGAAAACTTTTTCTTAGGTTTTTTTTATCCTTTTTCAGCTTAAGACACTCATTCTTATAGTGACCTAACTTCTTGCACTCGTAGCAGATAACCTCTTTACCAGAACCTCACTTCTTTTGTCTAGACGAAGAATTAGAACGACCAACAGCCTTCATAGCTCCTCTGATCTTCTCTTGACCATTCTGCCTGTGCCTCTAGAGTATGTTGACACTCTTGGAAATCAACGACAACTCATCATCATCTTCTGAGTCTCATCACAATCTTCAGATTCTTCCTCAGCTTGATAAGCCCTTGTATTCTCAAGCTTAGACTTCAAGGCAACAAATTTACCTCACTTATGAGGTTCATCTTCCTCAAGTTCTATCTCATGGCTTCTTAAAGAACTAATAAGCTCTTCAAGACTAATATTGTTCAGATCCTTTGACAGCTTCAAGGCAGTTACCATAGGTCTCCATTTTTTAGGGAGACTTCTGATGATTTTCTTGACATGGTCAGCCGTAGAATACCCTTTGTCTAGAACCTTGAGTCCTGCAACAAGCATCTGAAATCTTGAGAACATAGCCTCAACGGTTTCATCGTCTTCCATTCTAAATGCCTCAATTTTCTAGATTAAGGCCAAAGTCTTTGTCTCCTTAACTTGAGCATTTCCTTCATGAGTCATCCTTAGAGAATCAAAGATAGACTTAGTAGTATCTCTATTTTTTATCTTCTCATACTCAGTATAAGAAATATCATTAAGCAATATCGTTCTAGCCTTATGATGATTCTTGTAATCCTTCTTTTGTTGATTTATCATAACACTTCTTGCTACCTTGTTTCCTTCAGCATTTACTAGGTGAACGTAGCCATCGACTACAAGGTCCCAAAGATCGACATCATATCCCAGAAATAAGCTTTTGATTTTGTCTTTCTAATAATCAAACTTTTCATCATCAAAGACTGGTGGTTTAGCGCTGTAGTGATCTTTCTCGTTGTTGTTAGCAGCGGGAGCAACAACAATCATTGTTTCTCACACACAAACTGGATAGGTACTGAACACAGTGAAATGTTGATAAAACTTTATCACAATCAGAATCAAATCTGATGCCAATTGAAGGTGCGAAAAACACAAGAAATGAGAGAGGGGGTTGAATTGGGTTTTAAAAACAAAATCTTTTTACCAACTCAAAAACTCAACACAATCAAAAGATCAAAGTGAGAAAGACACAAGGATTTTTATCTAGGTTCACTTGAAATCAAAGCTAATCCAGTCCACCTGCCAAGGTGATTTTTCCTTATACATAAGGACTTAATCCATTATAACCAAACTGATTACAAGATCATAAAGAACAATTTTCTTTGTCTTCTAAAGGATCCGACTACAACTTAATCTTCTTAAGGAATCACAAACAAACAAGTTTGAATAAATATTTTTGTGTTACAAGTTGCTTTTACACAAGCAGATTTTACACAAATGAAATACAAAAACTTAAAGAAAAGTATGCACAAAGTTGAGAGCTTTTCACGTAGAAACAGTCTTGTAAATTGTTGCCACTTTCTTCAAGTCTCCAAGTCCTATTTATATAGCATGAAAAAGTAACCATTGGAGGGAAAATTCGGGATACCGAAATGCAGCCGTCCACTAACGGATTAATGACATGTGTGAAGAATAGTACTGTCTTTCGCCAACGTTTTCAGGTAGTGGAAGGATATTTTATTTTGTACCATGTACTATTTGATCACGTATCCACATTGATCTTATCTTCAAATCCATTGGCTTCTCATAAAAAGTTGATGAAACATGAAAAGAAGAAACACACATCTGAAATTAAAATTTTCAGTAAGAACCTTGACAACGTCAACGTCTAGCTGGTGATCTTCAGAGTCTTCAGCTAAGTAACAAAACTTCAGAAGCTTGCCATTCTTCAGAAGCTTGATGATTAGAGTCACGTCCAGAAGTAGAAGTAGAGAGAACATTGCAACAACAATATATCGTCTTTCCAGAAACTTCTCACGAGTGAATCAACACAAAAGCGAATTTCGGAACAAATGTTCAGAAACTGATAACGTTACACCTCATATACTCAAAATTAGAACTGGCTGTTAAAGCAACACAAGCCGTTAGGATACTAAAATTATTCTCACAAAAATACTACATTGTTATAACCAAAACTCAAAGGTAAAGATGTAGAACGAAATCTTGTTCTAACAAGTACGAACCTATATACACCCAATCCCACAACCAATTCATGCTAAACACCTAAACATAAAACCAAGAGCATAACCCATACCACAAACAACCATATACCGCCATCACATCTTACTATAGCTCGATGAGATATATGATTCCACCCCATCCCACCATAACACCTAACCAATGTAGACCCAAACATCACACCACCAAAGTACCCAAATATCACATTGCCAAAACACCCAACCAACACATTCGTTTCAAACACCACAAGAACCATTGCTTCATTTCTAAAACGACTCAATGTCTCAATTCATCAAACCAGCCCGCCCACACGTAACCCAACCAACACGACCCAACTACAACAACCTTGGCACCAAACTCAATTACGGTAACACATATTATTGGGGAGATATGATTGAAAAATTGTTAGATATGCCATGACCATCGCACCAACCACCTTTACCTCATGCGAATACTAGAAGACCCCAAACACCTCAGAGAAATCGTGGGAGACCTCGAAGACAAATAAGTGCATTAGGGTGTGAAATCGGTGTGCGTTATGATTGAGCGAGTCATTAAATTTCTATCCAATCGTTATGTAATTCTATTTAATAGAATACTATTATAATTTATTTTTTATTTAACATTTAGTTAATATAATTTTATTGTTAACATAATTAAAACAAACCAAAACAATACAATAGCTACTTATGCATGCTCTTAAATAATACATTCATGCGCCACATATATTAACATGATATATGTGCCTACGCCTTAAGCCAAAACATGAATGCATACTCTAAATAGAGTGACATATTTCTTGGGGGCAAAATTTGTTTTTGTCAAAACATGGATACTTTAGTATTTTTTTAAAGTGGTTATTTTGAAAATTAAAAAAAAGAAACCTTTTTATTTAGTAGTAAAAAGTTATTACTAAATAATCTTATTTTTCTTTCATCGTATCACTTGGCAAAGGTTGAGTGAGTCCTTTTCTCTATTCCGTTTAACCTAGCAAATTCAAGCACGCCGCTGGTTCGTACCGTAATTTTCCATTTCTTCTTCACCATCACTCCTACTCTAACTGTGATTCTTCAGCTGCCGTGTTGTTCCCGTGAAATGCATCTCCGGCAGCTGCGACAGTGATGCGCGCCGACCTGCCATCGCTGTAGCTGCCAACGGCCACTTCCCTCCCCTCCGCACCAGACGCCACTATTGGCCGCGATGAACTACCTAGGTTATCTCAAAAGGGTCCTTGCTGAATGGTTCTGTTAAATTCTTCAACTAATATTTTTGTCTGTGAGAATCTTGTGTAATACATAACAAGGGAAAAGTTTTTTTTTGTTTTTTTTTGTTTTTGTTGTTATTGTTGTAAACTTATGGAGATGGCTATAGTTGAATCAGTAGGGAATATTCCTTTGCAAGACCCACCGGAGGAAGAGTTTTCGTCTGCTGATTTGAGTTGGACCAAGTTTGGGAATGCTGAGCATCATGATGAGGTTGCTCTTATTCCTTATGATAGAGTTGATGCTTTTATAATTGGTGAGTCCTCTAATGTATTGTGCCCGACTCGGTTTCATATCGAAAGAGGAAGGAAACGAACTATTGGCACCTTGAAGGAGTACAAGGATGATGAATATCTTGAGTATAGGCTGTGAGTTTCTGCCTTAATTCTTACACTTCATTCAAAATTATTACGATCAAGTTTTTCTTTTTTTATATTATGGTTTTTACATTTTTGGTTATGTGATTCGAAGATTGTTCCATTTTTATGACATTTTTCAAAAATATTTTCTACATGTTTAGTTTGTATAATATGGTAGAGTTTAGAATTCGGTGGTGTGAAATTCCCTTGTAGAAATTTTTATCCTTGTTAAATTCCCAAATTTTTCACTTGTTGGTAAGTTAGAACCATTTTCTTTTGCTGTATGAAGTTTCAAATTAATAGCGAACTAGAAAACTATTAATTTAAAATTTAAGTGGTCATGTTCACAATTAGGATTAAAATTATTCCGCTAGGAAACTAGAAATGATTAGCGAGACGGTGAGGTGAGATGGGATTTTGGATCGGTGAAGCAAACTTCTCGCGGAGAGGGAGGCCAAGGGCCTATAGTCTGACCTATTTAAAGTCTGGTCAGACTTGACCTATTTAATAAAAAGGATAGGCTTAGGCTTTTTAAAAAGTCTATTAAATTAATAGGTCAGACTTAAGCTATTAAAAAATCAACTTGTAGGGTGAGGATTGCCCCCAATTATAAACACATGTTCAAGCCATAGATTGTCCGATGTGAGACTCTTAACAATTAAAAATAGGCTAAATAGTATATAAAATGCCTTGTTGTCTATGTAAAAAAATAGATAAAATGGACTATTTAAAAACTTTAATGTGAAAACAGGCTTTTAAATAGATTTTCAAGCTAGACTAGACTTTTAAGAAGGTCAAGACAGACCATATAACAAAGCCTATAATAGGCCATAGGCTAGGCTCAGGCTTTAAATTTATCGTAGGCTAGACTCAAGACATATAACAGGCCTGACATATTTCCACCCTTACTTGTAAGGTTAATACTCCGATGCTCAAATCAGTGAGAGAATAAGAAGTAACATGGGAGTGAGAATGAATTTGAATACTTGAAGTGACTCGCTTTCCTCCTTATATAGTGTAAGCAGTTAAAACCGTGCGCGTGAGAGGAGGCGCTTTATGCGGGTGGCCGTTGGATCTAATTGACGCGTCTGGAAGGCGAAATCATCGGCCCTTGGTGGAATGAGGGACCTCCTACTCCATGCGCTCTTTCGCTTGATGTCGCTTTCGGACCTTTTGCTATGGGTCTTGTGAATGGCCCAGAACATAAATGCTTATCTTATGATGTTGGACTTAGTTCTTAGTGAAATGATGTCATGTTTTCCTTTTAGAAAATTTATCCTTGTTAAGTTTCCTAAGGTTACAAGTCATCTAAGTTTGTACCATTTTCCTTTTGTTGTCCTGGATATATAATCCATAACATACTAGCAAACTAATAGGGTGATACTTCAGAAGTCATGGGCCTGACCAGGATTCCAATAATCATGTTTTCATGTTGACATTTTGTTCTATGTGAAGGTATTGGTGCTCGTTTGGCCCAGAAAATTATGGAGAGGGTGGAGAGATACTTCCTAGTCGGAGATATCGACTTAATACCCGAAATCGTGCTGCTAGACCTCAATCAATGCGTGGTTGTACCTGTCATTTTGTTGTCAAACGTCTTTATGCTCGTCCATCACTTGCGCTTATTGTATATAATGATCGGCGTCATGTTAACACGTCTGGATTTATCTGCCATGGGCCACTTGATAGAGATGCTATTGGCCCAGGTGCCAAAAAAATTCCATACATATGCAATGAAATTCAGCAGCAAACAATGTCCATGATATATCTCGGCATTCCAGAAGAGAATATTTTGGAGAAACACATTGAAGGAATCGAGCGCTATTGTGGTTCAAATGCAAAAGCCAACACCCTTGCTTCTCAGTATGTTCACAAGCTAGGCATGATTATCAAGAGATCTACTCATGAGCTTGATCTGGATGATCAAGCTAGCATCCGAATGTGGGTCGAACGCAATCGGAAATCTGTATTTTTTCATCAAGATACTTCAGAGTCTGACCCTTTCATCTTAGGAATCCAAACAGAATGGCAGTTGCAACAAATGGTTCGTTTTGGTCATCGCAGTGTTGTTGCAACAGACTCTTCCTTTGGTGTAAAGAGGCTTAAAGTAATTATTTTTCTTTCTCAAGTTTAAGTTACTCTAGTTCTAAGAGAATAATAATTATCTAGTTCACATTACTGAATATTTTCAATCAGCCTAACTTAGCTATCTTTTTCCTTTTGGCAGTATCCCTTGTTCACACTACTTGTTTTTGATTCAAGACAACATGCACTTCCTGTCGCATGGATCATTACACGTAGCTTTGCAAAACCTGATGTGTCTAAGTGGCTGAAAGCTTTAATTGATCGAGCTCGTAGTGTTGAGCCTGGATGGAAAGTCAATGGATTTTTAATTGATGATGCTGCAGCTGATATTGATCTTTTGAGGCAAGATTTATTGCTTCAAAACAAGAGTTATTTGAAGTTTATAGATGTGTTTAATTGTCTTACATCAATTATTTGCTTTTACAGGGATATATTTTGTTGTCCAGTCCTCTTTTCGCTATGGCGCATTCGTAGATCATGGCTAAGGAATATTGTTAGGAAATGCAATAATATTGAAGTTCGGCGGGAGATTTTTAAGCGTCTCGGAACATTAGTGTACAGCATTTGGGGAGGCACTAATACATCAGTTGTTGCCTTAGAACAATTTATGTTGGATTTTGTTGATCAAACTGATTTCATGGAATATTTCAAAGTCTCCTGGCTGCCCAAGATTGGTTAGATCCTTCTCCCATTCTCTATTGCATAAACATAAAAAAAAAAAAAAAAAAAATACATGTTTGGGTGTTACAACTGAAATATTTGTCATTTTGCTTCAGAAGTTTCGGGTGTAGTTGGTTGGTCATTGATGATATGGGGTGCAGTTGGTTAGTCATTGATGATATGTTATGGTTAACTAGTGTTGTGAATCATGGATTGCAGAAAATAAAAGTTTGTTCAATTTTTCCTATGCTATTATAGCGCTGCGATTTGACACATTTTTTACTAATGAGCGCATCGTATAAGAATAGCAATTTGTTCGAAATCCACTATGGTATAGGGCTATAACCTTTATTTGACAGCGTTGACGTTAACTTGTTTGTTGTGTCCTTACCCTGTGTTTCCACACTTTTTTTTTTAGAAATGTGGCTTTCGACAATGAGAAATTTTCCACTGGCAAGCCAGGAAGCTTCTGGAGCATTAGAAGCCTACCATGTTAAACTGAAAGCGAAACTTTTTGATGATTCACATTTAGGAGCGCTGCAAAGAGTAGATTGGTTAGTTCACAAATTAACAACCGAGTTGCATTCAAGCTACTGGCTTGATCGTTTTGCTGATGAAAGTGATTCTTTCCAGAATGTAAAGGAGGGATATATTGCTTCTACATCATGGCACCGAGCACTTCAAATTCCCGACTCTGCTGTCACCTTGGACGATAAGAACCGGCTCTTTGCCAAAGTTGCGAGCCAAAAAGACAACAGCTTAGCACATATAGTGTGGAATCCGGGATCTGAATTTTCATCATGTGATTGTTCTTGGTCATTGCAAGGTAACCTTTGCAAGCATGTGATCAAAGTAAACATGATTTGTGAAAATCTTAAAGGTTGTCAACCATCCATGTCTTTTCGGTCATTTGAAGAGGTTTTGATGGATCTAAGGAGAAAACCCGTCGACGACTCATTTGAGTTGGATGTGTCATTGGCTTGGACCCACCAAATACTGGATCATATCCAAAAATTTGTTGAATTGAATAATTCTCCTGATATTGGTACTATAGTTAATAATATGCCTTTGAAATGGGTTTCAAAGAGAGCTAGAACCTATGTTGGCAAAAATTCTTCAATTTCGGCTGCTATTCCTAGAAACCGCAACACAGAAAGTGTTGTTATATATAAGAAGAATCGGAAGCGGAAAAGATTGTCACGACTAAGATGACCGGCTCCATTTATTGCAAAATGCATTTCATCCTATCACCATCAAATGAAGATAACAAAGATATTGCTACGAGTATGCACATGGTTGATAGTTGGAAATAGAATGAAGGTAACAAAAGCAACTATGTTCGATTTGTTCAGCCAAATATTTTTCTCTAGTTTCCAGAGTCATATGCTGGCATAACTATTCATTTATTGAATTTTTATACTGTACCATCTCCATTTTTTAAATTTGAAGTTACTTCAAGTGCTTGGTTCACTAAGGAATATAGATGTTTTTGTTATCGAATTTACTTATCTATATATAGAAACTGTTGGCACGTCATTGACAACAATATTGAGCTTAATTTATTTGATTAAAGATGGAAAATACCTTGCTGTACTTCCAAAAAGCATGTGACTGAACTTATTTATCTGGAGTTGTAACATTTTTTTAAAGGTGAAGGTGAACAGATGCAATTTATTTTCACGCATTCAAATCTAAATTATTATTTTTTAATTAGGATAATTACAATGACCTCTACTAAAATTTATTTAAATTGTATAAACATCTCTTCTAATTTTAATTAAACACTTGTCTTTTTAAGATCTTCTAAAATGCATAAAAATTTATTAATTTAACACAACCGTTTATTAATTTTTTATTTAATTTTACAATAGATATAAAACTCTACTAAAATTTCTTTAAATAGTATAAACATCTCTTCTAATTTTAATTAAACACTTGCCTTTTTTTTTTTTTTACACAAACACTTGTCATTTTAAGATCTTCAAAAATACATAAATTTTTTTTATTAATTTAAGACAACCGTTTATTAATTTTTTTAAAATTTATTTAATTTTGCAATAGATACGAAACGAGTCTTCTTTAAAAAATTTTAAAAACTCATTTATCAATTTAACACCATTTATTAATCAATTAATTTTTTTTAAAGACGGCAGTTAATTAATCTATTTGTTACTTAAAAATATGAGCTAAAAAGCTTAAAGCTCTTTTTTATATCAGACCAAATAGACTCTAAGCACCAGAAAGTTTGCTAATATATACTTTTCTTATTGCACCGTTTCTAATGCATCATGTGAATTTTCACATATGCCTTTTAATTTTGGAGCTACATTTTTAGACGCACTTATTTTTGAATAAATGTTGTATATTTCGGAGATAAATTTTCAGAACCATTTTAAACATTCAAAACATGTCACTCAGACACCATTTATATTTGAATTGTTTCTGAAATGCATATCCGATAATTTTTCGGAGATACATCTTCGAAGTGTATTAGAACATATTGTTTTTTACTATAAATTGTGTATTTGTTTTCAGATGAAGTATAACACACGATAAAAAAATAGACGTACAAAATAATAAGATACTAATATTGGATGAAGTATAACAATATATGTAGAAAATGTCAGACGATCAAAATCTAAAATGTGATAAAATCGTAAAAATAAAGTAGAGAGTATAGTAATACAACACAATAATAACAGATCACTACAGGGTGTGCCTGACAATATCTCATCTGCCTCCTAGACCATCAATCTCCCTCGTCCTTCGGCGATGTCTCTGGTACAACAATTTCCCTCGTGCCTCCGCCACCATGGCATCCAGGACTCACCTGACAACAGACCCCTCATGAAAGATACCATCGTCAATACCTACCCGTGCAATCTCCACTATGCGACGACACCGAGGCAAGACATCGACAGTATGATCCAGCTGAGTCTGCTCCTCCTCTAGTATCTCCTGATGAGCTGGTCTCGGTGGATCTCTTGGAGTAGTCTGCACCATGTACGAATGTGACACTCTGAAGAACCACCTGATGCATCCGTCTACGTAACTCCAATCGTTTGGCGCTATGGTAGCCCGTGTCTCCTCCGGAACCAGGTGACTCTCATAATCAACAAACATCTCCTCTATCTGTCTATGAGTCAAGCCAGGAGGAGCACAGACAGTAAGGTGTCTAGGGATGGTCTAGGTGTACCCGAACACCCGCGTGACGCGCTTGGGAAAGTGAGGAGCAGTGATACGCGATCTACAAGCCAACCATCAGAAGTATAGCAATATCTCGTCAAATGGCCGCGTCTGACGGTGATCTACATAGCTGTTGAAATGCATGTCCTCAACAACCAAACATTCATGGTAGACTCTGAAAGACTCAACCGCATGGTTCCCTCTGAGTGGGATAAAAGCACATGCACGAGGCATGACCTTATTGTACTCATCCACACTCTCAAGTCAGCGATGCGCGGGAAGTGTTGGAGGATCCAAGCCTAAAATGAAAAAAAACATTCAAGGATTAAGAATTATCAGCAACGTTTTCACAAATATGAAATGAAAATGACATAAAAACATTCAAGGATCAAGAAATATTACCACCAGTAGTATCAAACTGCTTGTGACCTCCTTCGTCTTCCACCGACATCCATCTCTTAACTTCGAATACAGACAGGCCAAGTAAGCCGCCCACCAGTTGTACTCATGGATCCGAGTGAGATCCAAGAAGTACCAAAGTTATACAACGTCAATATAGGCGGCACTCGTGTCCACAAATACACAAGTGCCAACCAAAAAGAGAAAATATGCCCTCAAAGCACGAGCCATGTGTACCGCCACCTACTCATCATCACCATGAGCTTGCTGTGCATCAACGATCTCATCATCACATCTCTTTTTTAGGAACTCAAACCTAGCATTAGCACCCTTGGTCCTATCCACCTCCTCCACCACCTTTCCTGGATCAGCCCCTAGATGCTCTACCATCATATTGACTGCCTCGTCCTTGGTAATGCTACCAGGATCGAGGAATCTCCCCCTGATCGGAAGATGTAACAAACACGATACATCGTCTAGTGTGATAGACATTTCACCATGCGGGAGATGAAACAAAGAGGTCTCAAAATGCCAACTCTCCACGAATGCATTAAGCATCCCGTGGTTGACCAGAGTGTAACCTCTCATGCATAGGTCCTTTAAGCCAAATAATAATAGAACAGACTGAAACCAATCCTCCTCTGGTTGAGGCAAGCCAACAATCTTCCTCCCATGGTTAAGAAACTTTTAGGGATCACGCACTTGAAATTTTCGCGAAATAATCAATGTCAATAATAATCAATGTCAGAAATAATCAATGTTAACAATTAAAATTAACGTAAAAAATAAATAAATAATCCAACTATTTCTACCTCTACATTCCAGATATGCCTGACAATGTGGTCTGGATATAAAGGAAGTAAGGAAAAATCAAATGGACCTCCTCCAAAACCCTTTGGTTCAGCATTTGCAACATCCTCACCCTCCGGAGGTGACACTAGATCGGCAGGATCATCAACGGGAGGTGGCATTGGAAAATCCGGGTACCTGTGGGAGGATAGGGGAAGCGACGCGTCAGATGGTGAATCCTGTCTCCTATGAGAAGAAGAAGAAGGTGGAGTGTCTTAAGACGGAGTGACCTGAGATGAAGTACGATCCCAAAAAGTAGACGGCGCCCCAGAATTTGATGCCTCTGCCTGACCAGAGGTATTTGCTGCCTCCAGAACCTGCTGACTTTGCTCCCGCCAAACGGATGCGTACTAGACTACCATGCCATGTCTCAATCTATCGATTCTGTTAGCCATATGTCTGTAAGGTAAAGTAAGGCATATCATTAGTGCACACAAACAAAACACACAAATAAGAAAATTAAAAAAAAAAAAAACAGACTGCAGGAAATTCCGAAGATGCATCTCCGAAAACACCATAAAACAATAATGCTGAACAATTTCGGAAATGAATCTCCGGAAATACCATAAAAATATTAACTTTGAATAGTTCCAGAGATGCATCTACAGAAATTCCCAAAGTATATGAAACGCTGAATTATTTTAGAGATGTATCTCAGGAAAGTTCTGCAACTCAAAGGTCGTGACAATGGCGTAATGTGCCCATGTAAGTTGAAAAAACATGATCTGATCGCCATTTTGAGCCAACAATCATGTCATACACTCAGTCTAAACTATGTTACATGCGATTCCTACACACTTCTAACCCTAATCATTGATTTCTACACACTTACACTAAAACTCAAAATTCATCCGAAAGCTAAAAAATTTACCTGAAATTTATGATTTTGATGATGTTGAATGATGTTATTGATGGTGTTTGATGTTCCTTTGATCCTTATTTGATGAAATTTGATGTTGTAAAATTGAAGTTTATTGAGAAGAGTTTGAGCTTGTGTGTGTGAGCAAACTGTGAAATGAGGGAGGAGAAAAGTCTGACGGGACTTATGCTCCAAATTGTTCCGGAGATATATCTATAAAATATTTCAAAGTTTACTAAACTTTGCATGCGTCCGGAGATATATCTTCAGAATCATGAAACGTATGTGAAATTTTATATAGTGCAGTAGAAATACATAAGGTGCTATAAGAAACTCTCTAATGTTTTTTTTTTAAATGTCTAATATTTAGGTACTAGCATATTAATGTCTAGCATTTTTCTTTGAAAGGCTTGCAAGAGCCTTGGAAGAATATTCTAGTTCTGAAACTTTTAAGAAAAAGCTTAGGTTTCATACAATGAGGGATATACTAAAATATTTATGGAAATTAAAAGAAGGATTTTAGATCATGGATATTGGCAACAAATTCTTCATGGTTAAGTTCGACTTAGAGGCTGATCAATTCATTATCATGGAGGGTGGTCCTTGGATGATATTCAATCACTATTTAACAGTTCATTGTTGAACTCCAGAGTTTGCTTTTCTACTGTAAAGATAGATAAAACTATAGTTTGAATTCGTTTCCTGGGTCTCAATGTGTTAGATTATGGTGAGAGTATATTGTTAGCCTTAACAACTGCAATTGGTACATCTGTTAAGTTCGATAGTAATACATTGAATATTCGAGAGGAAAATATTTCTGTGTATGTGACTTAATTGATCTCAATAAACCTGTTATGGGTAAAATTTAGATGAGAAATTTCCGATATCAAGTGGAATAGGAAGGAATCCATCGTATATC